CTTTCTCTGCTGCCCAGGCTGGAGTGCAATGGTGCGGTCTCGGCTCACTGCAACCTCTGCCTTCCGGGTTCAAGCGATTCTCCTGCCTCAGCCTCCCGAGTACCCAGGACTACAGGCACGCACCACCACACCCCGCTAATTTTTGTATTTTTAGTAGAGACGAGGTTTCACCATGTTGGCCAGGCTGGTCTTGAACTCCTGACCTTGTTATTTGCCCGCCTTGGCCTCCCAAAGTGCTGGATTACAGGCGTGAGCCGCCACACCTAGCCTTTTTTTCTTTTCTTTTTTCTTTTTTTTTTTAAGGAAAGAAGATAGATTTCACAAGCTTTAGACAAGGTTTCATTTTAATTCCAAGCAAGTTTCTGGAACACGTTATTGGAAGGGATGGTTTGCATGAGAGTCTTTCAAGGGGAGCTAGTGATCACAAAGAGTTTATAAAACCCTTTACCTAAGAATTGCTTAAGACAGACTAAGCTCATTTTATTTTCTGAAATGAGCTTAGTAAATCAACATAAATGGGCAAAGCTTTGAAAATGGGTAAAGTGTAGCTGGGTTCCTGCAAGGCATTGACAAAAATCACTCATGATATTCTTGTGAAAAGGCTGGAAACAATGTAGATAGCACAATTATTGAGCAGGCAAATGCTCATCCCAAAGTCTGCTAATTAATGGATCAATGTTTAAGGTATTATTATATAATTCCGACCAATTAATACTAGTTTATTATTTATTGCCCCCACTAGAATGTAAGCTCTTTGAAGGAGAGACTTGGTCCTCTATTTTGTTCACCACTTTATCCCTTGTACCACAAAGTGTCCAGGCCATTAGCAGGAAGTGTTCAGGAAATATTTGTTGCATGAATGAAATAACCCGGAAGTAAGACTGCAAAGCATGTCACAAAGCTGTCTCAGCCCTCTCCTGTTCAGTGTTTTATCATATACTTGGTTAAAGCATTAGCTGGCTTGCTTATCAAATGTGCAGATGATGTCAGCCTAAGAGGGATAACTAACATACTTAAAGACAGACTCTGCATCCAAAAAGATTTGCTGGCAAGAGCAATTTAATAGTGATACAGTCAATTAGATGTTTTAAAAACTGGAAGTAGGCCAGATACAGTGGCTTATGCCTGCAATCCCAATATTTTGGGAAGCTGAAGTGGGAGGATCACTTGAGCTCTGGAGTTTGAGACCAGTCTAGACAACATAGTGAGACCTTGTCTCTACTAAAAATTAAAAATTAGCTAGGCATGGTGGTGCATGGCTGTGGTCCCAGCTACTTGGGAGGCTAAGGCAGGAGGATCTGTTGAGTCTGGGAGTTTGAAGCTGCAGTGAGCTATGATTGTGCCACTGCACTGTGGCCTGGGTGACAGAGTAAGACCCTGTCTCAAAAACAAACACAAAAACCCGGAAGTACAAGCAGAGACATTAATTAATGGCCGTATGTGTAGGAAAAAAGACTTAGAATTTTCCATTCATTTGTTCAACAAATATTTATTGGAAGTACCAGGTAGGCCGGATGTGGTAGCTTATGCCTATAATCCTAGCACTCTGGGAGGCAGAGGTGGGCAGATCATTTGAGCTCAGGAGTTTGAGACCAGCCTGGGCAACATGGTGAAACCTTGTCTCAACAAAAAATACAAAAATTAGCTGATTGGGGTGGCATGCATCTGTAATCCCAGTTACTTGGAAGGCTGAGATGGGAGGATTTTGTTTGAGCCCAGGAGGCAGAGGTTGCGGTCAGCTGAGATTGCACCACTGTGCTCCAGCCTGGGCAACAGAGCAGTAACCTGTCTCAAAAAAAAAAAAAAAGAAAAGAAAAGAAAAAAAAAAAAAGGAAAAGAAAAGTGCCAGGTACAGTGCTAGAGCCTGGGACTATACAATGGTAAGGAAAACACATCATCTTCTCTCACGGAGCTTAAAGACTATTGGGGGAAATAAGACATTAGTCAAATTATTCCATGAAAAAATATATTTCTTTTAAGCTGTGAAGAATAAAATGATGCTGAAAGCATAGAATAAGAGAACCTGACATAGTCAGGGAAAGTTTTTCCGAGGAACCGACACATGAGCTGGCTTCTCAAAGGTAAGTAGAAGCAAGCTAAGGTGAAGGCAGGGAAGAGCAAACAGTAAGCCCGGTGAGTCAACATAAAGGGCCTGCTTCAATGCCATGTGGTCCCTTTCCTTTCTCCTTTGCAGGGCTCAGGTCAGGGTCAGGGCCTGGTTGTGGGTTCAGCTAGGGACTCAGCTTACTTGCTCTCTAGGCTAGAGGCTCCCTTGAGAAGTTGGCCAGAGTGTTCACTGCAGCTTGGGCCAAAGTGGTAGCATCTTGGTCACGTTGGTGGGGTTAGGGCTGGGGAGACAGCCCCTGACTGGGAGATTGGGATCATACAGAGAGAATGAGCCAATAAGTGAATATTGGAGGTTAATCAGCCAGCCTTCTCAATGTTGAAAGAGTTACAAATAGAGAAAGGGGAGAAAGCTAGAATAAACCCGCTGATGTTGGATTGAAAATGGAGCCATCAGTACTAACTCATGATTTTATATGTATGTGTGTGTGTGCATGTATATGCATACATTCATCTATGTGTATATATACATACATATAACACACATTTATTTCCCAGTTCTGTCCACTGAGAGGACCTAGAAATAATGTTACCCAGGTAACAATGAGTACACCTCTAGGACCCAGATCATGGACACCATCCCTCTGTTCTAAGGCAGCAGGGCTCCTTGGACAAATGACTAATTACAGGTCTGGCACAGGGAAAGTACAAGATGAGCCCTGGAACATCTTACTGTGTCACAAAATAAGGAAGTGCTGCAAGAATGACGGGGACATGTCAAATGGGGGTAGGACCCAGCTTTGGGCGGCAAAATAAATAACGATAATAGTGGCTTATAACCCATTGAATAAAATAGAAATCTATTAGTCTGTACTAAAATGTATTTTAAAAATATGAATAAATAAATGGGGGAGAAGAAAAATCTCTACTTTACCAATGCCAACTAATAAATGAGGAAGTGATGGAAGCAGAAAAATCAACATTTAGCAACCATCACAGTACAAGTGTTCAGGCAAGAATCACTAATTGATGCTAAAAGTAGTGGTGAAAGTGTAATTAGGAACATATTTACTTAGTCTCAAACTATCTTCTACCAAGTACTTCATGATTATTAACCACTAAGTACAAAATATTTATCAATTAACTTTACATTGGCGATACCTGGCAGATACCTTCTTAACTTTAATTAGTAGCAGGGCAAATTGACATTGTATGCTTGCTGGTATGACGGCTGAGAATACATCATTTTTTGTGGTATGCCTCCCCAAAATACATAAACTGAATGTAATCATTAGAAAACATCCGATCCACCTAAACTGATGTGCATGGTACAAAGTCATTAGCCTGTACTCTTCAAAAATGTCAAGGTCATAAAAGATAAGGAAAGATAGAGGAAGCATTTCAGTTTGCAGATGGCAGAGACATGACAACTAAATACAGCTTATGATCCTGAACTTAGGAAGGACTTTACTAGGATGATCAGTGAAATCTGAATGGGGTCTGCAGATTAGATGATAGAATTGAATCATTGTTAATTTCCTAATTTTGATGGTTGTACTGTGGTTATGTAGGAGAGTATCCCAGTTTTTATGAAATACTCACTGAAGCATTAAGGGGAAATGGGGCAGGATATCTGCAAATTAATCTCAACCAGTTCAGAAACAAACTGAGAGAGTGACAGGAAGGCAATGTGGCAGAAAAATAAACAGGGAAGCTGGATAAAAGGTGTATGTCAATTCCTTGTACTTGCTTACAACTTTTCTTAAGTCTGAAACTATGTCAAAATCCAAAATTTAAAAATGTTAATACAAATCAACTGGCAGAAAAAGGCAGTGTAATCTTATGGTACATTAATGCCAGTCTAGCCAGAAAGAGGCTGCTCAACTGTATGGGTCAGACCTCACTGGAACACGGTACTTCGCTTTTGGAAGGTGAGGAGACCAGATGACATGAGGAACAACTAAGGGGTCTGAGGATGATTACCCTGGAGGAGAAAAAGCCTGGAGGACAGAGATGGGCCTGGCTTCTGTCTTCAGAGATATCTCTAAGGGGCGTCTGTGACACAGGAAGCAGATTTGTTATGGGGAGATAGACTTCTGTTTAGTATGAGGAAGGACTTTTTACCAATTAGAGAGCAAAAATAGGTGGGTTGAGCTATCTCCGGAGTTCCCCATCATGGGATAAGTTCTTGTTTTTTTTGTTTTTGTTTTTGTTGTTTTTTTTTTTTTTAGATGGAGTCTTGCTCTCCTCTCCTAGGCTGGAGTATAGTGGCTCGATCTCAGCTCACTGCAAGTTAGTAGCTAGGACTACAGGCACACACCGCCAGGCCTAGCTTTCTTTTTTTTTTTGTATTTTTAGTAGAGACGGGGTTTTGCTATGTTGGCCAGGTTGGTCTTGAACCCCTGGCCTCAAGTGATCTGCCTACCTTGGCTTCCCAAAGTGCTAGGATTACAGGCATGAGCCACCATGGCTGGCCTGGGATAAGTTCTATTAGAAACTGGGCAACGGATTCTCAAGGATGTTAGAGAGAGATTTCATGAATAAGATAAATGCTGGCCCTGGTGAACACTAAGATCCTTCCAAAGAAGAGTCTAGGATTCTTTGTTATTTTCAGGGATTGGGAATTTGAGCACTTTGGGAATAAAATCGATCCTGTGTTGGACTGAGATGAACATTCTCTTTTGTTCACATGGAGTATAAACCATCTTGCCCTCACATGGTCTATTTCACTATCATCCTTAGCACTTTGGAAAATTCATTTGTGTCCCAGAAATGAGCTGGTCACCAAGGTAAATTCAGTATGCTTCACTTAAAGTTTATTCAACATGAAAACAGGGTCTGAGAAAACAGAAACAAAAAAGTTCAAGAGAAACTCCGGCAAAAATGTAAACAGTCAGCATCTCAGAACAATATACTTCATGTGGCTGTGAGCTTGCCTAATCTGTCTTGCTCCAGTAGCCATGTTCATGAAACACTGCGCCCCTGTTGCTATTCAGTGCCTCCACAAGCTGACTATATAGCATATTCATCTGGAAAAGAGAAAAACAAACAGATTTCTTGAGGGGAAAAGAAAATGTGGAAAGGCTTCCCAGACCAATGCTGATGGCAGGAAAGCTAACCCTTACCTTCAGAGATCTAAGGGATCTCAGATTTGGGGAGAACATACAGTCCTCTCCTGAGGAAAAATTAGTCTTGAGGACAAGGAATCCTCTATTATAAGGGAGAAGATACTTAAATATAAAAGATCCTTTGCTCTTATTTTGTAGCAAGGCTTTTTCTCCACCAAACCTCTCCTGGTTAGCCAATGGTCCAGAAGTCTGCAACTGAGAATATAGTTCCTGGAAAAAACACCTTTTTCGACAGTCATTGCTTTGAGTAGAGGCCAGTCTCCTTCCCCACATGCACTGGCACTGACAGTGATGCATCTTTCCAGAGCTCACTCTTGGCATTCCTCTTAATTAGATTCCATTTGCTATCCTTACATGTTCCCCTGTACTCTGTCCTTCTTGGTTTTTGCTCCTAGCCAAGGAGGATGGGGTTGAGTCCTTGTGGAGAGCCCAGCGGTAACCTGTTGCCCCCAGGTCATGTAATCCACCCTAGCCCTCTCCCTCCTCACCTGAGTTTCATAGCTTCCCTTGAAGGAGGTAAGGTGGGCAAGAAAACGCAAGGCAAGACCACACCACTTTTCAGCAGATACATACTTGCTCTTGCTAAACATAAGTACTCCAATATTCCAGGACTTGATCATCAGCCAGACAATCTCCATTTCTGGGTAGTCGTTCTGAAATCCAAGGACAGAAATTTTGCAGTTATTACTGTCACAGTTCATTGTAGCACTGCCTGTATCGACACTATGTCCCATTATTACTAAACAATGTGAGCTCTGCTGACATTTAGGAAGGTCTGTCCTCCTAGAAAGCATAGGAGGAGAGCACCTTGAAGATCTGTCAGCTTTAGAATGTTCCATAGCGAGATCCCATGAAGAGACATAAACCTAGGTCGCCTCTGACTGAAGGAAAGAATTAGAAAGACAGATTCCTAGTCTCCCTGAAGCAGGAGAAAAACCTGTGTCCTGTTTGGGGCTTCCCTTGATTATGTCTTCAGTCAATTACCTCCTAAGTATCTACCTCTACTTTTTGGAGAAGGTTGTCAAGAAGCAGTTTTATTGAATTTCTTAATTTCTGTCGCCAGATTAGTCCGTATTTGGAGAAAAAATTATATTCATCTTCAGAGTTAACAATATCTCCCTAGCTACGAACACAGCACACATTTCTAAGATGGTCCCTTAGCCTTATCAGTGATCTTTAACATGACTAATCACAAGATTATATTCGCTTCTTCACAATACTTTGCAATAGTGAAAAGTATCAGTCTAAGAAGCTACTTTCTCGGTTCTTGTATAAGAGATGGAACACTAAGCATTCATGTTAAAGCCCCAGAAGGGAGAAATGTGATAGGAGACACATTGGGCAACAGCTTTTTGCAAGTGTCGAGGATGCTGTCTCAGCTGTCATCCTTTCATTCATTTGGATCCAAAAAGAAATTACCATACATAAAACACTGTGATAATGAGGGCACTAAGAGGGAAAAGACAAAACTTTTATCCTAAAGGTTGTGCAATGCTTTTGGGGACATGAGGCATCCACATGTGAAGATGTCTTCACAAGTTTTGTGATTAAGAGACACAAACATTAGGTGGTCCTGTTCAGGAAAAGAAATGAGCGCTAGGATATCACAGTTAGAGGCAGTCTAGTCTCTGCCTGAAACACTACCCCTCATCCTTGTCCACTTCTTAGACTTCTAATTTTTCTTCAAATTCACAAGCAGAGTTAGTTGTCTGTTCCCACAGTGAGCTTTCCCTTCCTCTACATAACTTAAATCATACTGTTTTGAAATGCTATGTATTTATCTCCTCCTGACTGCTGAATTCCTTGAGGTACAGGGAACTTTTCTTGGGCATTTTTGTCTCTTCAGAGTCCAGCACTGTGACTGGAACATAAGAGAAGCACAACAGATGTTTGCTGAATGAATGAACAAATGAATCAATATCCAGTCAGATGCCACCTCCTCAGTGAGGATTTCCCTGGCTCTCTATAATTTCTTGCTCAAACCTCTTGGCCTCTCTGGCACTTTGTTCACAGTACCATAACAGTACTTTGAACACTCTACTGCCTGTCTCCCCCACTGGGTAGGGAGCCCCTTGAAGGCAAAATGGCATTTGCCTTTATATGTTCACAACTTGGCCAGTGTCTGATACAGGGTATGAGTGTTGTGATCTTAATGTTATGAATAAAAAAACGACTGAACAAACATACATGACCTTAGGGTAGATGAGTAGGATCTAGATTATATGAAATGTCCAGAATAGGCAAAACCACAGAGACAGAAAGGAGATTTGTGGTTGCCAGGGGCTGGGGAAGGGAGGTATGAGGAGGGACTGTTAATGGGTATAGAGTTTCTTTTGGGGATGATGAAAATGTTCTAGAATTAGATAATGGTGATGGTTGCACAATCTTGTGAATATACTAAAACCCACTTAGCTGTATACCTTAAAGTGGTGAGTTTTATAATATATGAACTAAATCTCAATAAAAAGAAAAATATAGATATTCAGAGAAAGAGAAGGGCATTCCATATGGGTAGAACAGAATAAATGAAGACTTGGATTGTACTTGAGAACAAGCACATCTTAGGAAGACCAAGAGTTGTTTGGCCTAAGCAGACAATTTATGTAGAGGAGTTAATGGGAAATAAGACTGGAAATGTAGGATGGGGCTTCCTGAGCCTTTCCTCAATATTCTTCCTCAGAACACTAGTGTCATGAGAAATGTTAACAGATGGTCTATGAAAATAGAGTTCTTTAGTCAAATACATTTTGGAAATGCTGCATTCTATATATCACCCTTTTGGAGCATTATAATGCACATTAGTTCACTGAAAGTTTAAGGAACTTTTACAGTAAAGAAACCATGGAACTTTGTCTAATCCAGGGTATGTGAAATGTTTGCTAACATCTTGTGAGCTGCAGTGTTAAGGGTTTTTGCATTACAGGCTTCAGATTTTGAAATTTATCCTTCTGGCAATGGGAAGGCAATGAAACTTTTGGAGAAGGACAGTGATACGATAAAAGTATAGTTTTAATGAGATAGAAATGCCGGTGGTGTTTAGAACAGACCTGAGTGTGGGAAAACACAGACAGGGAGACTTGTTTAAAGGGAGTTGTGTGAGTCTAAGAATGAAGTGATGAGGGTCAGAATGAAAATAGTAACAATGGAGATGGAAAGATGTAAGAATCATTTGAAGAAAGAATCAATAGAACTTGGTAACTGATTTGATAAGGGGAATGAAAGGTCAAGTGAAAATGGTTCTAAGGTATGTAGTTGGAATGGCTGAAAGAATGCTAGTATCATTGAAAGAAAAATTTCTGGGGATAAGGAATAAAGGTAACAGTAAGTTCTATTTTAAACATGTTGGCTTGAGGTAACTGTGGAGGTAAGCAGGTTGTTGCAGATATAGACTGGAACTCAGGTAATAGTTAAAATGTATTAATTCACTTAAAGGACAGAGTATGGAATACAGAATAGCGAAGAGCAGAGAATATTTGAAATGTTCATAGTTGGGTGGTAAGAGGGAAAAGAATGCAGAGGAGTGGCAAGAAAATAAAGGACAAACGAAGAGAATTTCAATAAGGAGGTAGTGGTCAATAATGAAGGCCAGGGAAAAGAGACCATCGTAATTGCCTAGAAGGTGGTAATTTGTGGTCTTGAAAAGTGTGGCTGACAGTGCAGAGTGTGAGGGAAAGAGTGGCTCAAGATGAGGACAGATAGGTTAGCAGGGCCTTGTAGACCACATTCAGGAGTTTGGTCTTTAAGAGCAATGGGAAGCTACTAAAGAGGATTTCAAAAGGTCATGAATACTCAAAAATGTAAAAGATCACCTTGGTTGCTGGGCAAATAAAGGAAGGAAGGAAGCAAGAGGAGATGCGAGACCAGTTAAAAGGTTCCTGAGATCACTAAAGTAGCTGAGATAAAAGGTGACAACTTGAACTAGGTTATTGACGGTGAAAGACAGGAGGAAGTAGATGAATTTGAGAGACACTTGGGAGGTCAAATTGATAGTACTTGGTAATAGATTAGAAGTGGGAGTGAGGGAGATGCTGAGGATAACTCCTAGATGTCTGGCTTGGCAACTAGAAGAAAGACATGCCATTCAATGAGTAGAGAACACTTGAGTTTTAATTTGCGTTAGCTGCCTTCATGCTCAGCATTGCTTATGAAAATCATTAATCTTCAATAAAGAAATGCATCCACACAGCTACTGACCTTAAAGCCACATGGACTTGCCTACATGTAATACAAATCAATGCCAGCAAACTGAGGTGACTGCTCTGATGGTTTTTGGGGGGCTCATATTTGAAACCAGGTTTCTCTGTCCTCAACATCTTAATACATATGGCAGCCACACAGATCTCTAACTGAATTGCAGGCATTCTGGAGCACAGATGCCTGTCTTTTTAGGGTCTCCTTAGATTACCAAAGTAAATATTATGTGCATCAGATTTATTAAGATACATTTCAAATACTACAGCTTAACAAAAGTGTACAATGTAGTAGTTTGTAGTATATTCACAGTATTCACTGAGTTCTGCCACCATGACCACAATCAATTATGGAATATTTTAATTTCTCCAAAAGAAAAGTCCACACCTATTAGCTCCACATTCCCACTGCCCCCAGCCAATCCTTTCATTTCCTCCCAATACCTGCCCCCCTACCTCGCTAATCCCTGGGCAACCACTACTCTCATTTCTGTCTCTATTATAGAGTGGCCTTTTCTGAACATTTAAGATACATGGGGTCAGCAGTATGTGGGCCCTTGTGACTGGCATCTTTCACTCACCATGTTTTCAAGGTTTATCCATGTTATAGCATGTGTCAGTACTTCATTCCTTTTAATGGCCAAATAATATTCCATTGAATGGAAATACCACATTTTGTTTACCCATTCATCAGTTGACAGGCATTAGGGTTGTTTCCATTTTGGGCTATATGAATAACTTGGCTATGAACATTTGTGTATGAGTCTTTGGACACCTATTTTCATTTCTCTTGGTATATACCTACCAGTGGAATTTCTGGGTCATAGGGTAACTATGTTTAAACTTCTGGGAAGTTGCCAGACTTTTTCATAGCTAGAACAAACAAAATGAACAATAAAATAAAGTAATATTGTATTATAACTCAAAGTATAAAATACACATCTGCCTGGGTGTGGTGGCTCATGCCTATAATCCCAGCACTTTGGGAGGCCACAGAGGGCAAACTGCTTGAGCTCAGAAGGTTGAGACCAGCCTGCAAAACATGGTGAAACCACATCTCTACCAAAAATACAAAAAAAAATTAGCTCGGTGTAGCGTCATGAGCCTGTTGTCTCAGCTACTTGCGAGGCAGAGGTGAGCAAATCTGAGCCCAGGAGGTCAAGGCTGCAGTGAGCCATTATCATGCCATTGCACTCCAGTCTGGGTGACAAAGTGAGACTCCATTTCAAAAAACCCACAAAACTTATATTTTTTGGCCAGGTGTGGTGGCTCATGCCCGTAATCCCAGAACTTTGGGAAGCTGGGCAGGGGGATTACTTGAGGTCGGGAGTTCAAGACCAGCCTGACCAACATGGAGAAACTCTGTCTCTACTAAAAATACAAAAGTAGCTGGGTGTGGTGGCACATGCCTGTAATCCCAGCTGCTTGGGAGGCTGAAGAAGGAGAATCGCTTGAACCCAGGT